AGGGTAAAACTTTTAATGAATTTATCCAAAATGAGAAAACTTGAAAGAGAGAGAGAGAGAGAGAGAGAGAGAGAGAGAGAAGATGTCGTTCGAAACTTCGGAAGATCGTTTAAAAGTTTCATTTGAGCACCACTGAAAGGAATCTAAGCAGGAGAAAGAACGTTATACTACGCTACCCTCGTTTTTCCCCTTCTTTGTCTCCCTATCTCTTTAGCTATCACTCTGTCTCTATTTCCCTCTCTCTTTTTCTCTCTTTTTCTCTCTCATTCCTTTTCCCTTTTACCTCAAACAGCCTCTTCCGTAGAGTCTGTAATCAGTGCAGCTGACTACGGATGACGGTCAGGTCAGTGAATTCGAATTTTCTATTTCATTTTTTACAAAAATATTTCCGTGGATATACTTTTGTATGGTTAAAAGTAAATGATAATTTTTCTTTACCATTTAATAAACGATATATAATATAATAATAAAACATTTTGTTCGAAACAATTGTTCGAAACATTTATCATCTATTTAATAAATTTTATACAATAATTTCGAAATTCATGTATCGTAAATGGGTTAATAGATATTTTAAATCTATAGTTAGGTGATGATGTCGGGATGGGGTTGAGGGGGAGGGACAGGGGTGCTTATCGATCAAATTTCTCATCGATATTTACATGAAATTCACACTACGACAATTACGACGACAACGATCGTGGGATCGTGCGAATTTAATTTGTAAATTAATTAAATTTGTAAACGCGTTTGATTGTTTCCCGATAATACGCGGTAGAGTAATTGAAAAGAAAAAAAAAACAAGAAAAAAAAGAAGAAGAAGAAGAAAATGGGAGAAAGTATGATCGGAAAAAGAAAGAAAGAAAGAAAGAAAGGAGAAAAAAAAAATGCGAAAAATTGCGCTCGATTTTTAACGAACCTCCTAGAAAAAAAAAAAACGATTACTTTTTGCGGCAAATTTAGAACGATCGATCCGCGAATTACCAACCGAAAGCCCAAATCTGTCTTCCCCAGAATTTGGTGAACCAAGTAACCAAGCAAGCAAGCAAGCAAGCGAGCAAGTATGCCGCTTTTACTATATGTGTACCCGTATTTTTGGCGTTATCTATGTCCCACTTTTCGCAAGGTACCTAACGCGTTCAACAATGGTACTCGCGCGACGACGCTTTTAAAGCACAATTTTTTCCTACCCCTCTACCCCTACCCCACCCCCTACCACCACCTTTTTTCTCTCCTTTTTCTTTTTATTTTTCAAAACAACGACATCTGCCGTTTGAGAAATGCTGCGCCTTTTTTTTTTTTCTTCCTTTTTCATTCTTTTTTTTTCCCCTTTTTTTTTTTTATTTTTCGACAAAGCCCATCCTCGTGTAAAGCTTTAACGCGGCACACGTGCACACAATCCGAATGCGGGTAATGCCAAGGAAGTTGCATCGTTTTCTCTGTAAATTTTATAAAACGGCGCATGGTTCAAGTCATTTTACTTGATTATATATATATGTGTGTGTGTATATATATATAAAAAGAAAAATATATTCTTATATGATTTATATGACGTATATAAATAATATGTTAAATGCACAATGTAATATAGAATATACATTTATATATATATATATATATATATATATATATATATGTATATACGTTAGTTTCAACACTTGTTGATTACGAACAAATACTAACGAATTCATGAAGTTATTTCATTCAAAAGGTGATCGATTATGCGAAAATAATCGATCTGCGTATATTTACTTGGCTGTATCGAAATATAATTATTTTCATAGAAAAAATATCACGAAATATTTTAATAACCTGTAACAACTATTTGGTAATAATTTTGAATCAACTTTTCTAAATTCCTAATATATAAAACTTTTCAGACCCTTAATTGATCAATAATATCCCCCCCTCCCCACACTTACAATATTATTAATTAGTAAAGTAATCATTTTTAATTACACCCTCAAATAATTTAAACGTTTCAACGTGTTTGATTTGAATTTATTCGTACGATGCAATTACTATTTTTTACAACATCTTATTGTGCTTTTTCTGTCTTCGTCTTTTTTTTTTTTTATTAATTCCCATTACCCCTAGCGCGTTTTCAAATTTTATATCTTACTTTTCCTCATTTTTGTTCTCCCCCTCCCCCCTTGCCATCCCCTTGTCATATGCTATCTCATTCATTTCTTTTCTACGACATTTTTTTATATACGTAAGATATAACGTAGGATGAGTTATTTCTATAGTAAACATAGATAAGAATTTTACGGTTTTCCAGATGTATCGATACCTGACAATAGAACATAACAATTGTGCATACCTAATAAAAAAGAAAAAGTTTTTATTCTTCGAGTTATTCCTTTATAGTTTTTCGAATTTTCATGAATAGTATAAAAGATTGAGAAAGGGACGAACTTTTTTCTTTTTTTTTCTTTTTTCAAATATCTTTTCAGTAAGATATTTCTTCTAACAATAAATTATACACGGATAACTTTTGTGCTCCAGGGGGGGGGGAGGGGAAGGGCTCTGCACGTTTTCCATTATATCATTTAATTAACCTGTTTTCCTAATCTTTTTTTTTATTTTGTTTTATGCAAATAAATTTAAACTAGACGCATCGTTTTTTCACTATTTTGTTTTAACATTTCGCACACTCGAAGGAATAAAAATTGATATTATTTTGTTTACAATTGAATGTGTAGAACGAATACACATACAATTTGTTAATGGTACTAATATAACGTATTAAAACATTGTTAAATTATTAACCGTATATATTTTTCAAGAGCACACATTTGACTTTAAAAATGTAAAAGTTTAATCGAAAAATAATTGAGAATCACTATTACTTAATAATAGCATAAAGAAAAATGTTATAATTATTATTTCACGTATTTATTATTATCATCATAAGAACATTAACGTTTATGATAAATGACTTTCTTATTTAAAAAAAGATTGATATTTATCAGTCATTATTCCGTGTTCATAAAATGGAAAGCTGGTGGTGCTTACGGATTTCTCTAACTTTAAGCATATAACGGTTAGCGTCATTTTCTCCTACTATACCGAGAAACAGGTATATATAGTGGGGGTAAAGCCAATAAGATACGGGTTCGGTATTTTCCACTCGGCCAGGTAGTTTATTTCGAATTGTATTGTTACAAACAGTAAAAAAATAGACAAATGTATTGACTTATATTAATTTTCAAAAAATATTCCTTCCTTCGATAGTATTTACACGTGTGTATAAGAAAATTAAAAACAAAAAAAGAAAAGTAGTTTATTTTGAATCGTACTGTTAACCCCCTCCCCTACGGGAAGAGATAAACCAATTTATTAAAAGAAATTTTCTTTCAACAATATTTCCACGTGTATATGTTTACCGGTAAAATTTGAAATCTTGCATTATATAGAATGCTCGGTGTTTTTAAATAATGTATGAAATATGAGAATTATTAGATACTTTTCCTATGCATTCTATGAAATGACAAATGTTATTTAGGCAAAGCATGAAAAAAAGGTTCTGATAAAGTTATTATATAAATTATGTAAATACATATGTTATTCTGAACAAATAAATATTAAATATATAATATAAATATAATATATAATATATACAATAATAATAATAAAAATAAATATATAAATAATAAAAAATAAAAATACAAATGTGTGTGTTATTCTGAAAAAAATAATGAACGAATCGGAGATATATTTCATACATTGCCAGCTAGTTTCAGGCATTCTCTAGAATGCCAGATTTCAAACTTTCCTGAGCTACATATACAAGAAAATGAAAAAAAAAAAAGAAAAATACATTTGCACTGTAGAAAAAAATTATTTATCAAGTATAACCCTGAAGTAATTTCAAGTGTTAATAAGAGAACAACCAACCAATACGACTTAGCAAGATATACTTTTGGATATATAACAAGAATAAAAAGAAAACAAATTATATAGAAGTAGGTATAGTAGTAGTAGTAGTAGTTGTTGTACCGTGCGAGATGGTGCGTGCGAAATAAAACCGACTGACGACTAACGACTGACTACGACTGGTTGCTTGCTTGCTTGCTTGCTTTTGCTTTGGTTAGGAAGAAGGAGAAAAGAAGAAACTCCTCTTTTGCTCCATGCTCTCTGCTAGGTGGTCTTCCCGGTTCGGTTTGAGCAAGCCAACCAACCGCAGTCGAGCGCGCGACGTAGTCGAGTGCGGTAGTATACGTTTGCTGTCGTCGTGTTGATTGGTGGTTGCTTTTATTATTATTATTGGTTGGTTTGTTATTAACAACAATATCCAACCGATATAATAATAACTTTTCTTATTATCCAAACACATTGTATATACTTTTATTGCATATATATATATTTTTTTTTTCTCCATATACATATGTATATGATGTTAGTGTATACGTGTATTCGTGATAAACGTGTATTTTCCCCTCACTTTGTATTATTACCAACTATTGTGTTATTTTGTTTCTTTCTCTTTCATACGTTAACGAAACAACGTTCGTTCCTTTCCAACGAACTTAACCACCCTGTATCCTTGCTGGATAGTAGTAGCGTGACGACGACCAACAACGTGTTCTTCTTCTCCTTGTTTTTGTTGTTTCCTGTACGATCACGAGCTGGACTTTCAACAATTTGAATTATTTTCAAGGGAAATTTTCTAACGACAATTATATACGAAGACATATTTTTTAACGAAAAATATAAAACCCAGTTGTTGTTGAGACCTTAGAAGAAAAAGAAGAAGTTGAAGAAGATAGACGAAAAAACAAGAAGAAAAATTCGAAGAAATCGAGGAAAAATACGAGAGGAAAAAGAAAAAGGTTCGTTCGTGTGTGCAGGGGCGGGGGGGGGGAGAAAGGACGCGTTTATAGTTCAAAAAAGGAAGAGGGGAGAAAACGAAGAAGAAGGAGGAGGAGTTCTTCTTCTTCTTCTTCATCGTGTAAAAGTTACCTCTACCAAGGGGTGGGGTGGGGTGGGGGGGGGGAGAAAGAAGAATTAAAAAGAAAAAATATAGAATGAGATGGTATAGAGAGATCAAAGGTAGAGTGACTGACTGAAACGAAATAACGCGTGCGCGTACTTTTATATCTTCTAAAGGTGTATTTTTATTTTTTTTTTTTACGTCTTCTTCGTATGATTATCAACATTTTTATCGGTTGAGTGTTGCGCGCATTCTTTTACCTTTCTCTATCTCTATCTCTATCTCTACCTCTCTCTCTTTGTTCTTTTCTAACTATCTCTTGTTGTCTTGAACGTTCTCCTTTTCCAACGGAAACATCTCCTCGAATTACTTGGTGTGTACCGTTCGAAAGAAAGAAAGAAAGAAAGAAATTATGAACACAACGGTGTCCCTGACGTAGCTTTCGTTTTGAAAATTTGTGCATAAAAAGAGAAAGAAGAAATTCGACGACGAAAAACGAACGTTTGTTTTTTTTTGTTTTCCCTTTCTTTCTTTTCCCCCATACGTTTTTTAATTGCAATAATATAACGCGTTTATTTGGCGTCTCATTATTTTTCTCGGTTTTTTTTTCATATCTTTCTTTCGTAGTTTCCGATTCGTTGGGGGGGGGGAGGTTATTTTTTTTTTGTTATTTAAAAAATAACAACAACAACGTGTGTATGTATCAATCTCATCCATAACAAACCCCCCTCCTTCAGAAAAAAAAAACAAAACGCGTCTACGAGGGATTTAAAAATGAACGAAATAGGTAAGACAATTTTCTTCTTCTTTTTCTCGAGCAGTGTTTTCCCCCTTATTATTTTGCAATTTAAAAAAATGTACGACTTTCCGCATAGTAGTAGTAGTAGTATTAGTATTAGTAATAGTAGTAATGACGTAATTCATCTTCCACGAAAGGATTGCGCCGTGATTCGTAATTTATCTTATGTTAGCGATTTTAACATCAACGATAAGTATCTTCGTAATCAACCAACTACGTGGAATAATATATATATATATATTTTTTTTTTTTTTTCAATGGAGAAAATAATTTAATCTCTGATACGAATCATCGTGCGATTTTTTTTTTTTTATAATTAGATAACGCGATAAATTTGTTTCAACGTTAAAAGTAAAACACACTCACTGCCCCCTCCCCTCTCTCCCACCTGTCCGATTTTCTTCATCTTTGTTTCCTCAACAGAATTCTTGTTTTGTTTTTGTGTTTCTATTTCTTCGCGATAATCGAAAAAAAAATGCAAAAAAAAAAAAAAGAACGAGTAATCTATGTCAGATAACGATAGAACAATTGAGATTTAGAGAGAGAGAGAGAGAGAGAAAGAGAGAGGAATAGCAGCTACACACACGTAGGTCACGTTTCCTTTTGTTCGATCTTTTATCGCTTTCGTTGTTGCTGCTGACGCATGTGTCTAGATTGCTACCCGATTCTTCTTCATACTCGGGGTTTTTTCCTCCCCCCTTACCCTTCCCCTTCCTCCTCCTCCTCCTACTTTTTACCACTTCTTTACGAAAGTTTCCGTCTTGTGGCCTGTTTTGTCAAGATTTCTATTTCCGCATACTTTTCTTTTTATATTATGAACGACTATTATTCAAATAATATTCGCACGATTATTCTTATTATCATTGAAATCATCGATTTGTGTATTTTATATACACGAACAACCCCTACGTAAAATATATTTATATATGTGTAATATTAAATGCATACCGAAAAACAATGTTTTGAAATTTGTTTCTAAGAGTATTCCTCGAGAGCAAATGTTATCTTCGATTTGAGATTACATTGTCTTAGTAGATTAGTTTAGGTTTAAGGTTATCGTCATGAAAAATATGAATAAACGTATAAGAGTTGACATATTCGAAATAAATATAAATATATGTATATTTATATTTATTATTATTGTGTTTAATGTGGGTCGACGATGAAACATTGTTCGAAAGAATTGTGTTTAACTATTCAAATTTATTTGACTGTTCTGTATCTATCATTCTTTCTCTTTTTCTTTCTTATGGGAGGAGCAAAAACCCGGTTGTTTTTTTTGTCCGTTCAATGGAGAATAGTAGACGGACTTTTGGAGTTCTTGTCGAAGAAGTTCCTTGAAAGTGAAGTTTCACACTACTAAGGAAAGCTAGTGGGTACCTCCTAGTGCAGTTTGTAATTAACAACGAAACTAACTGCCATAGTCTTCTTAGTCGTCATGTTGTCCTCCTTCTCCTTCTTCTCCTTCTTCTTCTTCTTCTTCTTCTCGTTGTCGTCGCTTATTCCAACCAACTTCGTTTTTAAAAGATTTCATTAGAAAAAAGAAAGAAAGAAAGAAAGAAAAAAAAAGAAAGGCCTGCTGGTTTCGTTTCGAAGAAACTTGTCGTCCGTTAAGATAAATTCTTTTTCCCGTTGTCAGACCGTTAATCCTAAAGTTGAATGACTTACCTAGACGTGTCTTATCGTTTTGCGAATTCCTCCTTGCTACCTTTTCTCGAGGACGAATATATATATATTTATATGTATATGTGTGTGTATTCTTCTATATAAATAAAATTTTTCACAATTTTTTTACATTGGTATATGTATTTCTGTCTCTGTGTGTGATGTGACAAGTAGACTACGAGCTTTAAAATAAATTGTTCTTACTTATTATTTTCCTCTTCACGAAATTACTATGAACTTTCCCCCTTTATTGGGGTTTTACTTCAAAAAATTTCCTATCGATTTTCATGGAAAATATTTCAAGATATAAGAACTTTTGTAATTTAATTTAATATTTATATAAATCTTTACCTTCCATTTTACAATATCGGACGTATGAGTTAAATATATCGTTTCATCATTCTCATTTTTCTTTGTGATTATAAATGGTACGTTTTTTATTGTTACAATTTTTAATGAATATTTTTGATCACATTCGTTTGTTTATTTTCTCATTCAGAAATATATTGGTCGTTTCGTATATTTTTTCCCTTCATTTCGTAATAACGTTCTATTTTTTTTATGTTTTTTGTTTTTCAATGTTATAAATATCATTGTTACTTTTTTATTTCTTATATCAGTTTTCTCGTATTTTTATATCAACTTGGGTAATTATATTTTCGTCAAGTATAATTTTATCGATTGACAATAAAAGAGTTAAAGNTTCTTCTTCTTCTTCTTCTTCTTACACGCGAAAGCAGCAAATAAAAGCATGAGCTTCGTTCGCCACTCGAAGGTAGTAGCGTTTATTTAAAGAAAACTTTCAATACTCGAGAGAGTCTGATCGACACTTATAACATTTCACAACAGAAAATAGAAGAGATAGTAACGAAATAAAATTATAACGAATTATATATATATATATATATATATATATATATATATATATATATAGAGTTAATAAAAAACACATTTGAATATTTATAAATCGATAAAAAAAATTTGCCGTTATATCGAATAGTTTTCCTTTCATTCAACGACGAGAATTCGAACGAAGTTTAATTTTAGAATTTTCGTAAAATCTTACTTTCTCAAACATTTACCTTCTCTTCTCTTCTCTCCTCTCTTTCTCTTATTATTTTTCTTTCCACGAGGACTAAGAACATAATACCCAGTTTTATTTCAAAACATTACCGATCGTTCCACCGTGTCATTTTCTTTGCCATTTAAGCGAAACTCAAGGTAAACTATACTCGAGAGCATATACGGGCACCATGCTTGTTCTTTTACTTCGTTCGAAAATAAATAAAAACTCGAAACTACAAAGTAAAATAGAAAAAAGAAACAAGAAAATAAAAGGAGAAAGTATATTAAATATAAAACTAGAAAAAAATAAAATACCTATTCTAACAATAAACGTATAAGCATAATTATCCTATGAGAATGATATTATTATTACGTATACATATACACATACGGTGTATCTTATTAATTACATTTATAGGACACTGAGAAATAGACATATAATATACTCATGGAAAACAAATGGTTATATCATAATGAACGGTACTAAATTATATACACATAGATGTAATAAATACTTACATTACTTTTTCAGTTTCTTTTATATCTTACAATTAAACATGAAGAAGAAAAACAAAAATATATATATATATATATATATATATATATATACGTATGCACTTTTCATGCATAAGTCGTCTAAATGTGTATTGGTATATGTATATGTG